TATCGATAATCGGTTTATCAGTTTCTCATTTTATCATTTATCGGTTTTAACCAGTTTATCGATTTATCGATTCAAACTGATATATAACCGGTTCTAATTTTCATAACATGAATAAAACCGGTTTCTAAAATTAAAACCGGTTCCAACCTCTAATAGTCACCATTTTCTGTGTGAACAGGTATTAAAAAGTCAGCACCTTTTTGGTTACGTTTAAGATTGAATGCAACGCCAGTTTTATAACCTTTTGTTAAATCATTTTTAGTTAGAATGGTAGAATAGCGACAAATCTTGTAAAAGAGATACTGGCATTTTTAAGAGTATTATGTTCATCATTATCATCATTTAAAATGCTCCTATAGTCCAATAATAATAATTCATTTAAAAAGTCCATCAATTTAATTTCCCCCGCAAAAAAAGGAATTTCCTTTCTTCTTTTCTTTCTTGTTTGAAGACTCTAATAGGTCAATATAAGAATGAGCTCTCCAACAATCTCACCATGTTTTCCTGGTTCTACAATTCCTTGACCAAGTGTTTGTGCAATACAATCTAGAATGTCATTGTTCAAAAGTTCATAAACAGCTTCAGTAATCAAAGGTTCTGATGGATAACAGACTAGAACTTTCATCCTATCTTGAGAGATCGCAAAACAGGTACCAAGATGACTACCAATGAGATTTGAAGCAAAGTGTACTAATGGGGAAATGTCTACAGAACACAAGGAAGCAAATATTGCTACACTTGTAAGATTTTTCCTTTTTCGTAATCTTCACCTTAGTTAATAATTCGCCACCTCCTTGTATTTTTGCTTTTACAAGATTTATGACTTTATCCCAAGCATAAATATCATTTTCCTCAGAATTAATACCTTTGCAGTATGCATCTTTGAGTGCCTTCCAACATGGTCTTCCATTAGAGAAGAGACGATTATAGTAAGTACCTGAAGAATCAGTCAGAGTGTTAAAAGTTGTAATATTGATGAATGGCATGAAGATCTTGCGGCTATCATTGATTGATTTCACAGTTGGGTCATCTCTAGGAGAAGGTGCAAAGTTTGAGAGTCGTGATGTAGTGTCCAAGATCACTGAAAATAAACCTCTTGCCTACCACTTATTTTCTCGAAGTGCACACCTCCAACATCAAAACAAGAACATATGCATATCATTGTTGTTGTATTCTAAAAGTGTTCTTCCCTCATCAATGCAAAGCAGAACTTTTATTTCAGAACTAACATTTCTGAAATTTTCTTTTAGATAATCTGCATTATCCCTAATTAATTCTAGTTCTCTTTGACTTTCGTACATATTTACAGCAGCTATTGCAGGACTCCAAATAGATTTGCCATTATCATTAAGTTGCCATTCCCAAAATCGTCTGGGATTAGAACAATTATTCTATTGATTCTCTACTATCGAGGAGATTGCCTTTGCCAAGAAAGTGTTGAACCAAGCTTGCAGATCTTTGGATTTTCCAAATGAATTGATAAAGTTTTTTGTAATGGCAGAAGGACGTGAAAAACATTTTCTATCAATACCCAAATTTAGGTATAAAGTGTAAACATTATTTGCATACTCTTTTATGAGTCTCGATTTGCCATAGCCTGAGGATTGTATAACAGTGAGATAAGGCATGTAAATGTCTTTAGATTTATAGTGGCATTTATCAATATATTGCTGAAAATGGTTTAAAAATTCTGATTTATCGTTGAATTCGTGATTAAATGCAATAGAAGCATATTTAAACTCAGGCACATGTTCCAGCATACGTCCCACTGATCCTTCTTCTTTCCTTTTCTCTAGATCTGCCTGATCTGGTGATGAATGAATAATCATGATCATAATTAGCTAAACTATATTTAATTTAAAAACATATTTAGATGTGAACCATCATACATTAGGACAAAGTATAGTAAAATACATAAATTAATAGAGATATACCTTTAGCTAACTCCATTTCTGCTATTTTCTTTTCCAATTCTTGTATCCTTTCATCATTTAATGTGGTCACTAACGAAATTTAGAAACTCAATAAATGAATAAAGCTATGTATTTGTGTTTCTATTTTGTAATGACACAAGAAAATAAGCAATAAACTAAATGGGAAGAACATATCAGAAAGTGTCACTTTTATTGGATTGGTTGGTTTGATACCAAAATAACTAACCAATCTCTTAAAGCTTTTACCGCAATTATCTCGAAAATAAGTATTGTTCAGAGAAATATATTCAGTGTTAACTTCTCGCTTTATTTGGAGAGTGAGAGAATCAGGTTCAGACAGTCCTGATTTTTGCTTTATAGCTTTACAGAAGTGAGAAAATTCAAAACCTGGAAGCTGATTGAGTGAGATTACGTGGCAATTTTTGAGTTTATACCAGATATTATGCTTTTTTAGTACAATACTCATTTTGGATGAAAAAGTTAATAAAGGAAAGATTTTTTTAAATTTTTTTGATCGCAAATCGTATTTTCTCCTTATTTATATAATAGATGATTGTATGACGCGCAGTAAAAGTTGTGTAATTTTAATTTATCAGAATATCAAAAGTATCTTATCATCATAAATTTCGTCACCATCAGGTAATTATTAACAAATAAATATCTGGAGACAGGAATTCAAAAAATCACCTATTAAAAATGAGATTCGCGAACGTTTTGAGGGCGTCTAAAGCAGGGGTAATTTGTTGGCATTACGGCATTAAGAAATGATTCATAATGAGAGTGTGCCATAGCGAAGAAAGGTTCAGGTAATACTAGTGAAAGTTGGGCGGAAGAAGGGTTGACTAAACTCCAAAAGACGGTTGTTCTATAGATAGGATTTTACATTTAGGAAATGAAAATAGACAAATTACTATAAGGTCATGTAGTGTGAAATTTTACTATTTTGATTTATTTGATTATCTAAAAAAAAATATAAAACACATGTTAACATTTTTTGTTGCAGCATATCCCATTTGATAATAATAACTTAACTGGAAATATTAATAATTTACAAGAATTATATAACAAACTATATCAAAAAAAAAAAGTTATCATTTTAAAGGATTATTTTCTCAATTTGCTTAATCAAAATAATTATCAAAGAATGTATGCCAATCCTTTAATTTGGTGGATAATTCATGAAAAAGATTTTCCAATATTGTCTCAAATGGTTCCATCAGAAAGAGTCTTTCAATTTCAGGCTTAACTATCTCAAAAGTTAGATTTTTTTTTTGGTTTATTTTTATTATAATAAAATTTTGGATTGGGGAATGTTGAAATTAACACGCATTGCACTGTGTCTCACAATTCTACAAATTTTATTTGTTTCATCTTTTTAACAATATATATAAACTCCGGTCTAAATTTCGATTTTACCCTCAAACAGATAAAAATTGGACCGAAACCGAACTGGTCGAACCATCCCTAGTTTCATCGTACCTTAATTTAAGAATTAACACGTGGCTTAATTTCTCTGAGAAAAAATTTTATTTTCATAATAAATTATTCTAAAATACAATAAATTTAAGGATTTTTTTTTAAAAAAAATTACATAATCTAATTTACATAAAAGTTTGAAATATATAATTTAACAAATATAATCTAATGAAGAAAAAAAAAATATATATATATTTTGAATAAATTGTCCATGACTTTCAAGTCGATTGCAATTAAAGAGAAAATTTAATTATGATCACTAATATTAATTATAAATTCATCATTCAAATGCCCCCCCCCCCACAAAACTGTGCCATTAATCATCTTCTATTAACTCCAACTCATGACAGATTTACTGGAATCTGTCATCAATTAAAATGATTGCAAGATTTTTTCCTTGTAAACTTCTTTTTTTTTTTTTCAAAAGTAAGAAATACAAGTTAATTAAAAGGAAAATTAATTAAATTCTCGTTCACCACATATCAAACTTACCGATATGATCTTTATCAATCGAAGTTGCAAGGTATTCCACAATCGTTTCGAGAAAACTTATTTATTGTCTATAAAATCAAATAAAATTAATATAGATCGCAAAAATTAATAAATTAAGACCACAATAACAACTTTGAAAAATGAAATTAATACGTGCTTCATCCAAGTCTCCTTTTGTATACATAAAGATATTTAATCATTTATGGACAGTGAAGATTATACCAAAGTTTCATTTCTGATTATTATCATCTTCACCGGACATTCCAGAAATTGAAAAGGACTTAGCTTGATCATTAGATTCACAAAAGCTGTCGTGAATATTGCGAGGAGTTGGTAAATCAGGAAAATTTAAAAGACGGCTTTTATAAAAAGATTCCGGATGTGGTTTCTTGAAAGGTTCCAATTGAGAACCAAGATGTTCTAATAATCGTATCCTCTCATTTTCAGCGGAAATAAATTGATACGAAACGCTTTGCTTCTGAGAAACGCCCATATGCCAACCCCATGACATCAATGTCTTTTCCAATTCTCTAATATCTGGACGTTGTTTTGGATCTGCATTCCAACATCTTTCCATAAGTTCGATATAACATTGAGGAGTTTCCACTATGATTTCTGGTCGAAGTCCATTACATATATCCCACGCGAGCTGTGCACCATGTGGACGTTCATAAAAAGGTCTCTGACCTGACGCGATTTCCCACATAATCATACTAAAACTATATACATCAGATGCTTCAGTATAGGATTCACCACACAAAACTTCAGGAGCTACATAAGCTAATACGCCATAGATGCCATCTTCAACTTGTTTGTTTGCAGGTAGAAATTGTCCCAAATCCGAAATATAAGTCAAACTTTGTGACCCATTAAAATGTCTTAGTATATTACCACTGTGAAAGTTCCTATGAATCAAACCGGCATTATGAATTGTCATTAACCCATGCGCAATATTATAGACGATCCCCAATTTTTTCTCCCATGTGATATCTACAAAGTTTTTCTTTAGATAATGTCTCAAATCTCCATCCACAAATTCGAACACTAGCACATAATCTTTCGTAACTGGATCCCTACTGAATCCATAACAACGAGGGATGAACTTATTTTGTTTGCAGCGATGACGTTTGAGCTAAATAAGATATCAATTTGGATTAATATAATTATCAACAAGATAAATGAAACATATTTCTGACATAAGATTTACGTACCTCATTCCAAAATTCCGGATTTGCCTTATTGGAATTATATAAACGTTTAAGAGCTATTTGTTTTTCTCCCTCACGTACCCAGTGACGTTTTGAATCATCCCAGTATAATTTTGGACCAAGATCCCAGGTAGCCTTATAAACAATACCGAAACCACCTCGATCTATCTCTTTGATACCTTCAAATTTGTCATAAGGTATCCATTCCAAGAACGTTAAAGGACCCGTTACATTTAATTGAGAATGTCTTATTAAATTATCAAGGTCATTGTTTCCGCTTGTCCAATTATGAAAATCATCCTTAAATCGCTTTATTTCACATGGTTGACACCATCCGCGTTGTGTGTATTGTCGTTTACATGTTGGACAAACTTTAACATGTAAAGGAACTATTCCATTTGAATCTTGGGAGGTATGTTTGCTGGAAAAACAACCCATTTAAAAGAAAATTTTTCAAGCTAACAATTAAAAGTTTAAAATCAGAACGTTGAACAAAAATAATGAAATAACAACTATATGATGTAACTTACCGATTGGAAAAGACAGACGAATTATACAATATTATTTTATAAAGAAAATTGAGCTAGCTCAAATGCTAGCGTTTTAAAGGGCGTGCCAAGCAGATTCAAAAGATTGGAGAAAGCATAAAATATAATATACTTTTATGCAAGACTGTTAATAAATGACAAATTGAAATATTATGAACATGAAACAGAAAAAAGAAAAAAAAATGAATTACGTTTTGTCAAAATGAAAAATGAAAAAAAAAAAAGAAAAGTGGTGGTTGAAGGAAATTCTTATCTCAAGTTCTCGAAATGGATAAATTTAATTTATATAATTCCGAGATTTTAATATATATAATTCCGAGAAATGGATTCCAAAATTGGAGAATGATAATTTCGTGAGTTTCACGACTTTATTCTAGATATCTTACATTTACTATTTATGGTTATGGCTTTGTTGTGATTAATATTATATTTCCTCTTTCTCTAACAATGGAACCACATTGGAGAATTGACTAACCTATTGTTAGACAAGACGCAGGTTAATTTCCACCTTAAAATTAAGGAGTTATTCTAACTTAACAGGATCAAAATCAATTGCCTTTATTTAAATAATGCGGTTTTTGCCGACGCGACATCAATGAGAAGTGACCATAAATGAATTGAACATGCAGTAACCATGAAAAGAAAAAAAAAAATTTACGCCTAAAAAAAAAATCACCCTTTATTCTTTCCGCACATCCTTAAGAACTTTATTAGCATACTAATTCACATTTCTTTACATGTAAACCTTGCATAAGGTTATAAGGTTATTAAGTGGACCTTTTTGGGAATACTGTATTTGATATTTATAAACAAACTCGCACGTGAAATTTATTAAATCCGCAGTAGATCAAACATATTATTTTTTTTTTGTCGTGTAACTTTTGCATTGCTCCAATTAAGTTTTCAAATTTCAATGCAATTAGTTTATTGGACAAATGTTAAATTTTTTTTAAATCAATATAATAATATACTATTTTAATGTATTTAATATATTTATTTTATTGACGCGATTACTTTTTTTAAAAAATCTAATATAAATAATATAAATTCTATAAACGGGTTTTTGATTTTACAATTTTATTTGTTTTCTAATCTACTCTTTACACTGCGCATTATCGCTTCATTGTTTTCCGGTGACAAACACGCATACAAAGTTAAAAAAAAAAGACAAGCCCAACAACTTTTGGAATTCCGGATCTTAACGCCTATGATTTTACCTTGAATGCATTTGAAATTTATATTTATATAAATAATTAAAAAAAATTATTATTCTGAAAAGAAATTGGAAAAAAAAAAAAATATCATTATTAGAACAACAAAGATTCTAAAAATTTTTAATATATTTAAATTTTAATTTTTATTATCATTAGATTAAAATGCAATAAGATTTTAATTGTAATTAAAAAATTTCTTAGGATTTGATTTCTTTCATTTAATATTTGTTGTCCATTGATATTAATCACCCCTCGAAATTAAACACCCTTTACTTTGCACGATTTCAAGCATAAACTGAAAAAACTATTTTAAAAATCCCGTCAATCTGGCCAATCTGATGAATCCGAGGATTGGTTTTCGTTGTCTAGTATATAACAAACGTTTTATATTGAATGTAATTGTACAAAAAAAAAAAATATTGCAAATTCAAATAGAGAGAAACCAAAATCAATTTAGGTTTCAAAAATATTACCTTCTATAATAAATTTTTAGTAGAACTATTTTATATACAGATATACTATTATTTTTCAAAAAAAAGAAAACTCAATAAATTGTTTATTTGTGACTACTTAATTCATAGGAAAAACATAAGAACACTAATTATCTGGATTATAATTGATTGAATATTAATAAACAATATTTTGAAAAGCTATATACAGGAAACAGGGAACCCACATATTAGGAAGACTTTTATAACATTTTTTTTATAATGCTAATAATACCAATTTTATAAAAAAAATTCAATGATATTACTACACTATGAGAAATTGGTGTCATAGCAAATTCCATTCAATTCCTTGCTAATCAAGGAATTGTTGATAGTAGAATACCAACATTTGAAACCACCCCTCTCTGTAATTCAGAGAATGCTAACCCTGAGCAAATCAGTTGAATTTTAATCAAAATTATCTTTCGCTTACCACCTAATTATTCTTGCCTTCCCCCTCCTGAACCTTTATTTAAAGTTAATGAGCAAAACCTTAATGATTCAGCAATATAAACCAAATATGTATAGGCTTTATGAACTGATGATAGTGTTGAATCAAGTGAAAGAATAGGTGATATCTGACTAATTACCTCTTAAATTCAATCAGAATATTATTTTGTTTTCATAATGGCAAGTGGCATCTGGTCTTTTTTTATAGACAAAGTCAGAGGGTTTTTGTTTTAAAAAAAATATAATCTTTCCCTAAAAGATTATTTGATATAATCATCATCTTCAATGCGTACAGCTATATTTTTGTTAAAATCTGACTCATTGAATTTTAGTTCTGTACTGATTTGTCATTAAAAAATCCTATCCAATTGTTTATAATTACTGATATTACACCTCTCACGTACATAGTACTACTAGTATCCAAAAGATATGTAATAGATAGTAGAATATAAGATAATACTTGTTCTTGACTAAACTTCCCTATAAACAAATAAACTAATATAAGAATGAAAAATATTATGAAAAAATTCCCAGAAGATTTTAAAATTATCTTACTTTGTACTAGAGTTCCAGATGAGTCGAGTTAACTCACGAATCAGATAAGCTGAGTTGAGTTTAAATCAAGTTGAGTTTATGTTTTTTTGACTCGATGATTTGCGAGTCAAGCCAAATTCAAGTCGAGTTAAATATTTAACTCGACTTAATTCGAGTTGACTCAAGTTGACTTGAACGATAAAAAAAATCGTTCAAGAAGAACGATAACTAATCATTCGACTTAAACAATAAAAAAATAGTTCAAGAAGAACGATAACCAATTATTTGACTTGAACGATAAAAAATCATTCAAGAAGAACGATAACCAATCGTTCGACTTGAACAATAAAAAAATCGTTTAAGAAAAGAATAACCAATCATTTGACTTGAACGATAAAAAAATCATTCAAGAAGAACGATAACCAATCGTTCGACTTGAATGATAAAAAAATTGTTCAAGAAGAATGATAACTAATCGTTCGCTCCCTTCCCCCCTCCCCCTCTCCTCCCCTGATCTTTTTGTTTTTGTTTTTAATTTTTTGCATTTTCATTTTCGTTTTTTTTTAATTTAATTTATTTATTTATTTCATTTTTTCCATTCCTTCCCCCCTCCTCCCTCTGAATTTTTCGTTTTCATTTTTAATTTTTTTTTATTTTAATTTTTTGCATTTTTTTTTTGTTTGTTTTTAATTTAATTTATTTATTTTTCCCCTCTCCCGAACTTTTCGTTTTTGTTTTTTTTTAATTTAATTTATTTATTTTTCCTCTCCTCCAAACTTTTTGTTTTTGTTTTTTTTTAATTTAATTTATTTATTTTCCCTCCCCCAAACTTTTCATTTTTGTATTTTTTTAATTTAATTTATTTTATTTTTCCCTTCCCCCAAATTTTTCGTTTTGTTTTTAATTTATTTTTTATTTTATTCAAATTTTTTTTTTTTATTATTTTTTTTAATTTTTTGCGTTTTCATTTTTTTTTAATTTAATTTATTTATTTCCCCCACCCGAACTTTCGTTTTCATTTTAATTTTTTTTTTTTTTTATTTTTATTTTTTTTATTTTTTTATTATTTTAATTTTTTGTGTTTTCGTTTTTGTTTTTTTTAATTTAATTTATTTATTCCCCCATTCTCGAACTTTTCATTTTTGTTTTTAATTTTTTTTTTATTTTAATTTTTAAAATTGACTCAAAACTTAATTTGAACTTGACTTGATTTGAATAAATTCAAGTCAAAATTGAATCAAGTTAAAATCGAGTCAAGTCAAATTGAGTTGAGTTTAAAATTTATATAACTCGAATCAAATCAAATTGAAAGATTTTATAAAATAAATTTGACTCGACTCGACTCAAAAAAAATGAGTCGAATAGAGTTGGTCTTTAAACTCAACTCGACTCAACTCATTCGGAACTCTACTTTGTATTATTGTTTTTTCCTTTTAATCAATGTGGATGAGGTATCTGTATTTGCATCTGAATCTATTGTTCTTTTTTCTTTAGATGAGATACCTGCCTTCATTTTTAAATCTATATATTATTTTCTATATGTACATTTATAATATCACTCAAAATTTTTTAAGAACTTTCAATATTCAAAATCCTACTTACTTTTTTAGAATCAGACTTTATAAAAAGAATTATACAGTGAGTAAATACTGGCTAGATGCAAGCATACCAAAAAAGGTATATAACTGATTCCATCTTTAGAATCAATAGACTTTTACTAAAAAGCTAGTTTCAATAAACTGCATCTACTTACATGACCAGCATCTCCTTCTTATAGGGACGTAATACCACAAGAGTTGCAAAATTTAGCAAAAAACTAAAGCCACTTGTAGAGATACTGATCCTTCTATCTGAGACGTAACGCTTCAAGGGTGTAAGAACCTAGTAAAAAGCCACTGTTCAATAATCAACTAACCTTTTTCTCTTTCAAAAAGAATCCTAATACACCTAAAGATTTCTTGTGAAGAAGTTTATCACTATTGATTTCATTCAAAGTAAAGTAAAATGCCTACATATGTCTATATCATTAATAAAAACATGCAGGCAATGAAAATTTTCAGCAATCAAAACTCATAAGAAACAAATTTAAAGTATTTTTTTAATGATAGTTTAGAAAAATTTTTAATAGCTTAATAAGTACAGAGAACTTGGAAGAAAAAAAAGAATAATTATATTTAAGTATATAAACTTAACACGTAAAATAA